GGGTTGGTGTCACCCATTGTGGGTGCCTGGAAAGGGGGGGGGGATAGTGGTGGTGGTGGTCTGCCCCTCCTGTTGCCTTGCTCACCTACCTCCCTTCTCAGCTGCCCAGGTGGCTGCCCCCTGGCCAGACCTGGAAAGGGCTGCTAGGTGGCGGTGGCAACTTACCCTGCCCTTCCTCCCACTGCCTGCCCCTCCTTCTCTGCTACTTTGGCTTCTTCCTTTGCAGAGAGAGCCAGGGAAGTGAAGAAGGTGAGAAGAGAGTACGTTTGCCCCTTCTTCTCCACTGCTTAGCAATATTGACCGAGAAAGCTAGGGCAATGGAGAGGAATAGATATGTTTAGTCTAGAGAAGAGAAGATTAAGAGGAGATATGATAGCCCTGTTTAAATATTTGAAGGGATGTCATATTGAGGATGGAGCAAGCTTGTTTTCTGTTGCTGCAGAGAATAGGACTCAGAGCAATGGGCTCAATCTACAGGAAAAGAGATTCCACCTAACATTAAAAGGAACTTCCTGACTTCCGCTGGAGTGTGGCAGAGTCTCCCTCTTTGGAGGTTTTTAAATAGAGGCTGGATGGTCATCTGTTGGGTGGTGCTTTGATTCTATGTTCCTGCATGGCAGGGGGGTGGACTGGATGGCCCTTGTGGTCTCTTCCATCTGTAGGATTCTATGATTCTAAGAAGGGGCAGGCACTGGCAACAGCACCACACACACTTACACACACACACCGCCCTGGGAGGAGGGCCTGATTGGGTGTCACCTCTTGCTGAGAGATCACCTGGTGTGAACCACATTCCCCCTGCACTTCCCTAATGATGCCACTGCTCCCAGTTGTAGTCTGAACAGGCTTTGTTGTGTGCCTTCAAGTAATTTCCAAAGTATGGTGACCCTAAGACACATTTATCATGTTGTTTTTCTGACAAGATTAGTTCAGAAGAGATTTGCCATTGCCTTCCTTTGTGGCTGAGAGAACGTGACTTGCCCAAGAGTACCCAATGGTTTCCATGACTGAGTAGGGATTCAGACTCTGGTTTCTCAGAGTCTTAGAACAGCACTTAAATCATTGGATCATACTGGCTTCCCCATACTTCCTCCTTCTTCCTGTTACCTTCAATTTATACCCAGCTTTCCTCACATCCTGAACTAGAACAAAGTACTTTTCCAAGTTCTGATTTCTGGCAGTTCTGGAATGTGAAGCCTGAAGTTTATGATGGACTCGGAAGCCAAGTAGCAGAGGGCAGTCTTATCCCTTATTTTTCTGGATATTGGCCTGCAATCAAGCCAAACTGCCCAGGTGGTGTTTTCTTTATGTACTTTAGTACCTGGCAGCCTATCAGTGGCTCAATAAACCTTCTTGTTTTGCTGCCAGCTTGGAATACAAACACAATTTGTTTTTTCAAGTACCTGGCAGGATGTTGGGTTATGCCGGCCCTACATTAGACACAGGGAGGCACCTGGATTTGTCTGTTGCCAAAGAGCCACCAAGTGCCAGCCATTTCATTTATTATAATTATAGTGTTTTTTACATTACAGCTGGTGGTTGTGGGATTTCCTGCCTCGGACACCTTGTCTGGCTTTAGGTGTTATGAACTTTGACCTTTTTTGCAGGGGCTGTCACTATACTATTAGTAGCATTAGTAGAGTCATGCCTCCATATCCATGGATTCAACCATCCACAGATTTAAAATATTTTAAAAATATATAAATTCTAGAAAGTAAACCTTAATTTTACCATTTCTCCTCTGGGAAATGTTGGAGGGTATTCAAATGAATGGACAGCAGTGGTAGTAACAAGTGGGACTTATTCAGAGGCACACCTCACAGATGACATCTTGCCCAGTAGCCCAAGTGTGACTAACAACACCAGCCTCTAAAATTTACCTCCTGAGGTTAAGATGGCACCTCTCCTATTCTGTTTACCAGAGTGAATCTTTTCCAGCTAAATCTTGACAATAGGCAAGCATCCTTCATTGCACCTAAGAGCATCAGGATAGTTGGAGGGTCACAGAGAAGGTCATGTGGCATGTACAACTCCATCCACTTGATGCTTCTCAGCATCTCTTCTCTGAGACAGGTGCTTCACTAATATGGTTGATCCTGGTTACTGATGAGGTCATCAATTGAGATGTCTGACGTCACTGTTTTATGCAGGAAACGGCAACCTACGGTCTGGGGGCCGGTTAAGGCCCCGGGCCCCGGACTTACCGGGCCAGGCCGAAGGTTGCCGCCGCCGCCGTAACCGCAGTCGTGGTGCATTTTTTCCGCTCTGCGGCCACGCTCGCTGAGATCGCCATTTTGGAAATCAAAATGGTGGTCAAGACACGTTTGCGCATGTGCAGTACTCTTGCGCATGCGCAAACATGTCACGGCTGCCATTTTGATTTCCCAAATGGTGGCTGCGGCGGCAGCATGCGCGAGGGGGTTGCACGCAGCAGCGGAGAGTGCGCACACGCGTGTGAGCATGCATGCCGCCATTCCCCCCCCCCCTCGGTCCAGCCAAGACCTGGGCTACGGGAGACTGGCTCAGGTCTCAGAAAGGTTGCCTGCCCCTGGTTTTATGGATGTGATTCAGAATGCTTTCAGTCTAAAAATATTCTCCCATGTTTATGTACTTCTAGGAATGTGACATGTCTGAGTATTGTGTCTAAGCACAAGGAAGACAAACAGCACTGGGTGGCACATTGTGAAAACAGTTAGTTTTTTAAACAAAGTTTTTAGCCCTTGAGGTTTTGAAGATAAGAAGTATAGATTAAATCAAAGGGCAAGCAGTTTGCAATCCAATCTTCCTTCCCTCCCACACTCCCTCCTATCTAGAAAATCCTTTTCTTTACCCCCTCCTGCCACCAGTGGTGAAAGTAATGATCCACAATGATTCTGTGATGTTTTTAATTAATTTATGATAATGAGGGGAATGTTTTGTGTGATGTCACATATTGTTGCTGGAAATTATTTATTCCTCTGTTGGCTGTACCTGTTCATTTTTATGTACAGCTCGTAATAGTTATTCAGTATAACAGTTAAAAATAAAGGAAGGGGGCAGAGAACAATTTCTAGCCCTCAAGACCGACATGGCAGAGACAAAGGAGGGTACAGACAAAAGGGCTGCTGATGTTGCAAACCAGTTAAAACCATTGCTGGGTACTTTCCCCTTCCTCATCTGTTCCCCCTGTAAAGAACATATTGCAGTGCACAACAAGCACCAATACCAACCTGCTGTTAACTTTGGATTTGTCACTTGAGCACCCTTCACCTGACAAAGGGGGTCTGTGTGCATTGAAAGCTTGCTTCTAGCATTTTGAACATGGGTAGCTACATGGTAGAATAAGCTGTCTTGCGCTGAGGGTTCAGACCTTGCAGCTCTCTTTTGTCTGGCCTGATTGGCAGTAGCTTGCCAGAGTCCTAGACAGGTCTTTTCCAACCCTGCTATCTGCAAGATCCCTTTTAAAAACACAGAGATACCAGGGGATTGAACCTGCCTTTATCTATGCAAAACATGAAGCTCTCCTTTTCAGCGAAGAATAGAAGAAACTGCCTCGGATGCCGAGCGAGACCATACCTGGCCTATAATAGTGCAATGTATTTTGTTCTTCTGACCACCAGCTGATGCTCTGCATAATAGGGTTGCCAAATGGATTGAGATTTTGCCACTCTGGACCAGTTTGGATTTGTAATACTTAAAAGTAACTCGATGCTCATCCCTTGATGCTTTAAGTGAGCAACTGATTAGGATTGCACATATTCCATGGGTTTTTGAGTCATAAGGTATTATGTCACATTTTACTTTTTCAAAATCTATTTTAACATTTAAAAATGCTAAAATAGCCCCAAATGACCTTAAAACGCCCCTGCAAAAGCTGCATTCTAAAATCACCAAAAATAGAGCCAACTCCTTACACTTGACAATGACTGGTATCCAGCTGAGCAGCTACAAATGCCGACGTTAGACTTACGCATTTGTAACTGCTTGGCATTCATGCTTACGATCCTGATACCATTGCCACAAACACAAATACCCCCTGCCCCAAACCTACCTTGACCACTAGCAACCACATTGAGCACACTTTCCTCACTTGGAGCATCTGTTGGCTGTTAGGGTAGGTTTAAGGAGTAAGGCTAGGGGACGATGTATAGTGATGCATTTGTAACTATGTCTGTGATGTAAGATATCAGTCAAAATTTATTAATTACTTCCGCATTTGGTTTATAGCTCATTTTCCTCTCAACAGTTTGGATGCCATGCAGCTCACAAGATAATTAAAAAGGCTTCCAATAGCAAAACAAAGCCCATTATGCATATTAAAAGATGAGTTAAATAAGAAAATACAAGTAAAATAAAATACAAATTAAACGAATTCTACTACTAAAGCACCAATTAAAACAATTTAGAAATACCCAACTAAGAATAAGTCAGCAGTAGAATATTTAAAAGTTGAGCCCATCCTTCTTTAACATGTCAGACTGTATCAGGTAGGTAGGTAATTGCTGCTACAGGCTGTTCCATGATTTTGCAAAGTAATGTCATAAAAGAAAAACAGGAGTGTTCTACAGGTAATACAGTTACTGTAAATGCATGATTTCCATACTCTGAGCCCAATCCAGGAGAATTGTGTTTTGTTAGTACTGCAGGGGTGGACAAAAGGTAGATTGAGATACATTGAGATCCTCTAATAGATGTGTGGATGACTTACAGTACACTGGCAAGGTGTTCTGGATGTCTGGATACTTAACAGTGAAAGCAACTCAGTGTCTCTTTATCCCCTAAAACAAAGAAAAGTTGGAGAGGGTGGAAGCAAGGAGTGGACTGCTGTCTGGAAAAGCCAAGGGTTCACTTCTGGTTATGAAAATTGATTCCTGGATTAAGAGCATGCTCAAATATGACAACCCCTAATGTGAACCTATCACAAGGTTTTCTTGGCAATTTTCTTCAGAGGGGGTTCACCATTGCCTTTGTCTGAGGCTGAGAGAGTGGGACTTGATCAAGGACACCAAATGGGTTTTAATCGCTGAGTGAGGATTTGAACCCTGGTCTCCAGAGTCACAGTCTAATGCTCAAACCACTATACCACACTGGCTGTTGCTCAGTTTTGCAGCAAGGCTAGAAAATTTAATTATTGTATAATACAGAATTTTGTGTGTTGCTATGACTGTCTTTGAAATTCTCCATGTTTTAAAACCATGTCCTCCATATATATATATATATATATATATATATATAGAGAGAGAGAGAGAGAGAGAGAGAGAGAGAGACAGACAGACAGACAGACAGACAGACAGACAGACAGACAGACAAATAATGCAACTATTGAGAAATGTAAAAAAGATCTCTAGTCTGAATGACACCATAATTGAAAATCCAGGGAAACAGAAAGTAAACATTTAAAAATTTCTCATCTTGGTCACATTACACAAGCGATTGTTGTTGTATAACTTCATGTCATTTCCGACTTATGGCAACCCTAGCTTGTTTTTTTTTTTTTTTTGTGGCTGAGAGTGTGCGACTCATCCAAGGTCACCCAGTGGATTTCCATGGCTGAGTAGGGATGCATACCCTGATCTCCAGAGTTGTAGTCCAATGCTCAAACCATTACACATGCTGCCTCGTAAAAAGACAATGGTAGTCCTCCAGGGTTTCTCCTTACTTTCAAGGACCTATCCATGGTGCTGAACCTACCTTGGGACAGCATTCAGCATCTTCTGTACCACCTCTAAGGTTTGAATAAAATGTAGATAAAAAGTCTACCTTTTATTGAGGAGGGGAATATGTGAGAGTTGGATTTCCAAATAAGGAACTTTGCCAAACTTTGTAGTTGAGCCAGGGTCTAAAGCAAGGTTGGTCAAGATATCAATGGACTCCAACTCTCATCAGCCCTAGTGAGTAGAACCACATGTCAAGAATGCTGGGAGCTACAGTTCAGCAACATTTTGAGGGTCATACCATGCCCATCCCAGTTCAAATATAATGCAGACCCTAACATCTGAATATGAGCCTCAGGGAGGTCTCAGCTGCTTAGTGCACAGTCAGGGTTCCTTAAAGGACTGCAGGAAAATCAATATGAAGGGAGAGAGGCAAGAAAGCTGGAATGAGAGGGACCACAGTTACTGTGAGGACAATTCAGTGAGATGTAGAGTCTACACTATAGCAGAGGAAGTGGGATGATTTAAAACAACTCTGACAGGAGAGAATGCCAGTCCCCCAAAGCTATAATGGAAATGTACCTAAAACAGCAACATCCCACTGATTATAGGATTTCTGAGTCTACTTCAGAGGGGAGGGAAATTTGCCTTGATTCTGCAGTTTGGGTTCCTGAAATTCATGGCAGCTTATTCAGGATAAGTCTCTTCTGCAGAGCACCCATTTTATATGCATTTTATATGCTTAGTTGGAAAGCAGTCCCTTAGTTGGAAAGCAGTCCCACTCTCAAATGAAGTTCATGCACACATGCCAGCTGGTTTATTTCTGTGGCAGCTGGGAGATTACTGTGTCAGTGCTGGTGGTCATCTCACGATAGGGCTGAGATCCTACATACTCAATCATAGAGTAAGAGATCTACCTCTCTGCTCTGGCTCTCCAGTCACTACCACCAGGAGCTCACATTGGCAGTGGAAAATCCTCCCTGGCTATTCAATTTCTGGGGAGAGCAGAGGGAATAAGAAAAGATCAAGGACATCTTCTTCTAAGATCCACTTGGGTCCTTGGAGGTCTCAGCTGAAGATGTTATCAATTTGTGTCTGGCTATGGGGACTTGGCGAGACACTTCTCTGATCCCTTCATGCTCTCTACCAGCCAGAGAATGGCCATAGAGGAAGATTATCACTGCTCAACAATGAGTCATGACAGGGGATTGAGTGTTACAGATGGACAAAGAAAATACAGCCTCTGCAATAACAAAACAAAAAAGACATATACAGTTATAAGGTGGATGTAGCTTGCATATGTCCCTAACAGGATGCCAGTCTCTGTAGCTGCATTGGTTTGGCACAGCTACATGATTCTCTAGTCATCCCTGCTGTGCACCAGCCACAAGATGGATGTGGGGGAATGCTAAAGTAGCTAAGCTACAAGTCCACAGGGCTTTGGTTTTTTGAGGAAGGAAGAAGAGAATACCAACCTCCAAAATACTAAAAATGGAATACAGAAGCAGAAGGTGGATTTTGTTGTTGTTTCTGATCTATGGGGATCCTACAGTGGTTTCTGGGACTGAAAGTATTTGATTCACCCAAGGTCACCCAGTAAGTTTCCATGAAGAATCAAACCCTGGTCTCCAGAGTCATAGTCCAATTCTCAAACTACAATACCACATTGGCTAGCAAGGTGGATTTATACTTGTACATATCACTAACAGGATGTCAGCCTAGGGTTTAATATGAATTTTAAAGGATCTTTTGAAGGCATTGTTCCTTGAAAGTTGAAAACAAAACCTGGAGCAGTATGACTGCTCCACTAACATGGAAGCCACCAGGTGTCAATGGCTTATTTTCAAATGTACTCACTAAACGAAAACATTGCCAAGAGAAGACAGTGCACAAATGGGACAGGCTATGGCTCAATGGCAAAACATGAACTCTGTATGTAGAAATCCCTAGGTTCAATCCCTGGAATCCCTAAGGGCTGAGAGATTTGGGCCTGAAGTCTCATCAGTTGCTCTTAGTGGCAACAATGCTATGCTAGCTCAGGGATGGACAAAGTGCAGCCTGCAGGCTACATGCAGCCCTTGGACACCACTTTTCTGGCCCACAAAGCGCCTGCTGGTCCTCCAAAGCCCCCAACTACTACTAAAAAATAATGATCAAAAATATTTTTAGTGAGATGTTTCTGTGATTTTTGTCCTCAAATCATGCACAAAGCCTCCTCATCCCAAGAAAACACTAAAAAATCCATACCACATCCTTGCAAACACCTCAGAGCCCATACTACTCCCTAATACCTCCATTTTCCTCTGCAGTCTGCTAACCCTCCATCAACCAAGCAAATGCAGTTGGCCTTCCATCATCCATGGATTCAACTATCCACAGCTAAAAAATATTCCAAAAAGATGTAAATTCCAAAATGCAAACCTTGATTTTGCCATTTTATATAAGTGACACCATTTCATTATACCATTGTATTTAATGGGACCTGAGTATCCACAATTTTTGGTATTCACAGAGGGTTCTGGAACCAAACCCTGGTGGATACCAAGGGTCTACTGTACATTCATTTTCCTCTGCATTTCTTCTCAAAATGGTAACAGAAAGGAGCAAGCCCCCATTTTCCTTTGGAGAACATCACTTTCTGTCACCATTTTGAGAAGAATTGCAGAGGAAAATGGATATATTTGGGCTTGTTGAGATTGTGGCACATGAAGAGTGGTGGTGGTGGTGGTGGTGGTGGTGGTGGAATGGTCCATGGCAATTGCCTACTCTGAGCTAGATAATAATAATTTCAATAGGTATAAGAAAGCCTTCCTTGTATTTGATATGTTTCATGGGGACATCTAAATAGCCCATGTGTGAATATTCCTTGCATTCAGTTGACTTGTTCAAAGCCATAAACCAAGAGTGGGATCATGCAGCCTTCTATACATTGTTGGACTACACCATCAAGCCCATAGAGCATAGTCAAAGGTCAGGAATATTAGGAGTTTCAGGTCAACAATATCCTTCCTTGTTAACAGGGCTGCTGGCAGATGGAGTCAAACAGTGGTTGCAATCCAATTTCCCCAGGGTATGGCATAAATATCCACATATAGAGGCACACTATGCCAACACTATGGAATTCTGTGTAGAATGGGAACATTGGCCAACAGATGTCAATGACTGGATGCCCTTGTGAAATATGCCATCGGAGTGCACAATGTGCAACCACAATCTGCTATTGCATATAATTTCAGGGTTCAGTGTGTAAATGCAGTCTGAAGTGCACAGGTACAATGCGCTGTGTTGGTGCATGCATAACACCCCTTCCACTGATGTGAATAGAGTTCAACTCTTGCACAGTGGTGAAAAGTTCACCCTGCATGCGTATCAAGACTTAGGTATGTGTATGTCACTAACAGGATGCCAGGCAGCATCTGCCTTGTATCTCAGTTTTGGGGAAAAGATGGAACATAAATAAAGATAAGAACAATAACATCTGGAGAAACACATGATTCCCATCCCTACCATACACCTAGGAAAAAAGTCCCAGTACTCTGCTTTTCAAATGTTGTGATTTCCAAGTCCATATATCAAGACTTCTGAAGGGCTGCCACAGGTTTTTCACACTTGAGGGCAACCGTTTCTGAAGGAGAATCTTGTCAAACAAGTGCAACATGTTTGCCAGCTGTAGTTTGGCATCTGCTCCATTCGTAAGAAGATATGCAAAGTATGTTAATGACATGAAGTGGAATATGCAAATTAATGGTGACATTCCAGCTTGTAGAAGATTTCCAGTGTGGATCTCAGTATTGAGCAGTTTGCCCAAGCCTAAATTGGATAGATAGATAGCAGATCATTTGAAGGGGAATGAAGAGGCCCATAATAGGTGCACGGATGTCATAGGGGAGCAGTTTACGATGATTAAAATCATAATATAATCATAACACCACAATGTCAAATAAAATGCAATGGAAGCAGACAGGAGAGATTAAAAACAAACCTAAAATGAAAATACTTATCTTCCTGGCAGGATAATCTTGACAGTGAGTTAAGTTCTTTTTTAAAAACAAACAAACAAACAAACAAAAACAAAACAAAACCTGGCAGGATAAAAACCTGCTATTTTTTTTTTAAAAAAACTATCTTATAGTTCAAGATGGAGCTATCCATGCTTCATGTGGCAAGGAGTTCCATAGCCTGGGTTTGATCAGCTGAGAAAGAACTCACTTAGCTAACCCTGGTTGCTACCCTGGATGAGATGCAGAGAAGGTCCCTTCCTAGTGGTGCTGCGAGCTTGGTTTTTGGAAAAGTTGCTTTGGGGGGCTACCAGCTTCCAGAAACTACAAGTAACATGGATGGTAGCCATTCTGGATAGAGGATTCTAGGAACTGCAATCCAAAATGTATCTTTCAAAGCTTTAAGCTAGATCGTTTTAGACCCTTGACTTAATCATTTT